AGTGTTGGCTTTCCGCAGCACTGTGCAATCACATTATAAAGGTGTTCCATGAGACAGGCCACTTGGATAAGCATAAATCTACATAGCAGCAGATTTTTTCACTCAATAAAAAAAGTAAAATAACCGCAATATGCTCCAACCTGCAGTCGTCACATTAAAGTGTCACCTCTCTAAAGCACTATGCAATCATATTACAAAGCTGTCCTCCTGAAACCGGGCACTTGAATAAGCATAAATCTACAGAGACAGATTGAATCCTCGGGCCTCTCGCACGCCACCGAGGGGGAAGGAGAGCCCAGAATCTGTTAGCAGACAAATATCCCTTGGCCTAACATTAATCTGCATAAAGCGCCGGTGCGAGGAGGTGAGTTGTGTGTAATATGTGCCGAACATCCCGCGACAGAAGGAGCAGAGCAGAGCCTCTAATCAGGAAGAACGGCTGCTGCCGACGGCGGCCGTGGCGAGGCTTCGGGCCCCTGACCTGCTGACTGGATTCTGCTGAACACGCTGGAAGAGAAATCTCCTCTCCCCTCTTTCATCCTCCCTCTCCCTCCCCCGCTCTCTGTGTGTCCTCGTTCCTATCTCTTCCCTCCTCTCGTCTCCCCTTCCTCCTCTCCTCTCCTCTCCTCCTCAGTGATGGCTTTCTCTCCCTCTCGAGTATGTTCTCCGTCCGTACATTCCCTCCTTCCTCTGCTGTTGTTTTCTTTCCTGTCTTCATCTTTTCTCTCCTTTCTTTCCTTATTGTTCCTTTTTCCATTTTGGTATTACATTTCCTTCTATTCCTTTCCTCTAACTTGTTCCCTTAATTCCTTTGGTGTCCTACCTTCTTTTCTTACTGTGCTTTCTCTAACGTTCTTGTCTCTTTTTTTATTTCCTTCTCCTTTCTCTATCTTTCCTTTGATGTCCTCTCCTTCCCATTACTGTCCTTTAATTGAGTTTGTTTTACAACAACCCTACATAATGAAATAACATTTCCTCTCATTTCTGTTTTATTTTTCTTCATTACCCCGATTGTCCTTTCCTCGCATTTGCCTTTCCTTCGCTTTCGCCCTCTCCCATCCCCCCCTCCTTTTCTCCTCTTGCGTATTACATCTTTGCTCTCCTCCTTCTACATTAACCTAATCTTTTTCCCTTCATGTCTCCTCTGCTATCCTCCCCTCCTCTGAAACTGACATTTCCACCAAAGTTGTCCAAAGCCGAGCGGCTCTGCAGATCCGAGAGAGGAGCCTGCACGCTACGTTGTAGTAAAAAATTAGCATTACCGTTTGTGACGATAGTGTGCACGTCAATAGCCATCAGTGACGAGCGAAATGTTCACGGGTCCCACTGCGGATACTGAAGGCAAATCAAGTCAAAGCACAGAAAGGAAATAAAACACTCTTTTATTGCTTGCTGTGCAAAGTGAGAGCCATAATCAGAACTAATCAATGAGCTTTAATCTCCAGCATGCCACCTCCTTTGTTAGTTGTCAATAAAGTGCTTTCAGGGGATTTAGCACCGCATCCGGCAGCCATAACGGAGGTCAGATTGCGTATTCTTATCTATTTCTTCTTTTTTATCATACAGTATTTTATCAGCATAAAGTATATTAGCATCTAAACTAGCACTAGCATGCTGACAGTATCTGCTTTATTTTCTAATTCTAATAAGCCTCCTGGATTGTTTGCTAGTTAAGAGTTTTCATCACGTTTGCTGAGTTGATTTGTTTTATCCGTCAAACCTTCAGCGAATAAAACTTTACATTAAACCAGCCAGCAGTGCCTATTTCATTTAAAACAGAGAATATATCAGCCCTTTCTGGCCCTCCACGGTCTTAAATGCTTTTGAGAATTGCTTAGGTCAATATATGGCAGACAATAAAGGGGGCATCAAATATAGAATGTGTATAAATTATTGAGGTTCAAAGTTCATTTTTTATGTAGGAAAGAGATATTTTATAGTCTAGCCTTCCTGTGATCCCCTATCTTACCTTTTATACAACATTGTTTTATGGTTGTATCTCTCATCTACACTTAGAACTATTTTTCACAATACAGTGTTTATTCCATATATTGTTTTATTGATGGTGCTATCATCCTTAGTGTTTTAACACATCCATGATTCCTGCTGTCTTTACCCTGTAAAGACCTGGTTTTGAAAGGTGTCACAGAAATTAAGTTTATCATTATTATTATTATTATTGTTATTATCATTGAATAATCCTGTCTCAGTGTCTAAGCAGTGTTTCAGCCTTGAATGGACCTTTAGGTGTCAGTTATACAAATTCTATATGTAGAATGACTGATGTCGGTATTTGAACTCATTTTTGAATTGTAATATATATACTAACCCTGAGGCTGATTTACAACTTAACAACATAGGATGGGCGATGTATTATGATATAATAAATCATCTCGTAACAAGAGTGGGAAATTGTAAATGGATCAAATTTGATATTTTGGCGATATTTAAAATACAAAAAATTCCTTACATTATTACTCGTTACCTCTGACCTCTTACAAACATTTATATTTTTGCTGCCATTTCTTCATAATGCCTCCACTCTTTGTAATATTGTATTAGGACATGAAGACTGACGTTTCCTTCCTCTCTCACAAATCTCTGAACTTCTGAAGCTATGATCCTTCCCCTGCTATTTGGACATTAAAGTGAGAAATTATTTCTTATTAGCTCTACAGTTTTTTTTTCCCCCTTTGCCGAGCCAGCGGGTAAGTTATGCATCGCAGCAGCCTGGAGGCAGACGGGCTGCTGCCTGCTAATATAAAACGTCGTCTCCTGTGAAGCCGACAGTATTGGCCAGCAGAATAAGCTTAGGAGGTAATTGGGGTCTTTAGTCTGCAAACCAACAGCCTCTCTCAATAGCATTAGTCACCCAGAGTAATCAGACACAAAAGGATCATATCTGCAGCACTGCGGATGAAGATGCTGCTTAAGTTGAATTTTTTTTAATCTTTAATCTTCTTAAGACGGCGTGGCCTAAGTCAACTTTTTGAGCATCGGGACGTCCAATGTCTCCTCAACTTTGTTGCTATAATCACTAATGAATCTTCTGTTGCCAGGAAACATTAAAGTAAGCTTTCTCAACCTGCATTAAGAGTGTCTGGAAGCATTGCCCAAAAAGATTGCCCAGTGCATCACCTCTGCTGTTTGCCCCATCACCAACAGCAGGCCTAATTGTCTGGAAAGTCCTGCAGCACTAATTCCAGGATGAACCACTGTGTGTATCCGTGTGTGTGTGTGTGTGTGTGTGTGTGTATGGGAGGGGGGCGGGTTCTACCATGGCTTCCTCTCCGTGCATGTAAATTAGGGCCACATATACATTAGTCACGACTGACAGGAGCCACTGTGTAAAGGGCCTGCTGTGCTACGAGCGTTAGCATGTTAAGCTAACGGGCCTAATGGGTTGAAAGAGATTCTTCACCACGGATCAACACAGAACAAATGGAGAGAAGCATAACAAAGCTATTCTGTACTCCACTGAAATACTGTACTGTACATACTGTATATGGTACTCTACTGTACAATACTGTATTCTGGGTTCTGCTGCACATTATTCGTATGTTCTGTACTTCATATGATGCTGTACTTTATGCATACTGTGCAGTATTCCTATGTAGTGCACTGTACTTTTATTCATTACAACGATATACTATACTGTATTTCATTAATGTACTATACGAGCTTATCATGCTGTACTGTAGTATACTAGTCCATACTACAATAATTAATCACACTAAACTATACTTTGCATACACTACTATAAATAACAGTAGTGTAATACTATACTACACAATATGATACAATATCTTATCCTGTACTAGGATGGTATAGTAAAGAGTTTATGAAAACAGAGCTCTGTCACTCCTGTGTGACCGGCTCTGGAGGTGCTTGCCGCCCACAAGATGTTCCGTGTGAAACTTCTCTGGGGCTTTCAGCTTGTTTCCTTTCTCTCTGCAGAACACTGCCAGGACCCAAATACAATTTTGGGTAAAACATTTGAACTTAGTAAAAGTTGCGCTGAGTCAGGATCTGTGGTTACCCAGCAGGTACAATAGTTGGTAGGTGACACAAAGGCATACAATTGTTAACAACACTATATACATTTTACTACACACTGCAGTAACTTAACCTACAGTTGTCCAGAATGTTGCAATGTTAAAAATGAACTGTATCTCCTGTAGTGCTATATTTACTGCTACATGAAAGCGCTGTATAACAGCTTGTAACATCGACACTGTCGGTCTGGTCATGTGTATATACGGTATGTGTTTACACTCACCAGGAGCTGTCCAGGTGTCTCATATGTATATCTACAGTACAATAGAGTTACACATCAGCTTTAATCAAATGCAAAAAGGTTTGCTGTAAACCTAAAGCTTTGTAAAGCTCTCTGACCAGCAGAATGATTTGTTGGTGAGGTTACACACAAGCCAAGTTAAAAAGAGCTGAGTGTTTACATTTGCCTTCAAGAGGGAGACAAAAATCATTACTTTCCCAGAAAAAAGCCTTGTTTTGCCAGAGAGAACTGACAGCTTTATGGTAAGGAAACAGGCACACTTGAGCCTGGGATAAAAAGCTTAATACTGCTGTTTTGGAAGAGTTAACTGTTGTTATACTGAACAATTCTTCCAACATGTTTTGCCACTAATGAAACAATTATGCGTGGCATTAAGGGAGAAAAATGCCTGTGTCAACATAATGAATTAAGTAAAGCCTGAAATATTGCTGATGTTAGACAAACACGTTTTTGCTTAATTGCTCCTGCCACCAGATGTTCTTCAGTGATTTCTAGACAATACAGTTTTGACCATTTTGATTGACACAACTTACAACAACACATGGCAATCTCTACAAAAAAAAAGCATTTCCCTAACATTCTTAGTTTTCTCAACATTTGGAAAATGCCTCATCATCGCATGAGACAAACACAAAACCATGGTCAGGGAAGAAAAGAAGAAGAAAAAAAGAACAAAAAAGAGGGAAAAAGAAAAGGAAAGTACCTTTCTTGTGAGTAGCTTCATTTTTGGAGCCTTTGGGGTCTAATAAAAAAAAGATCAGAATTAAACACAGCATATTCTAACAACACGTTACCAACGTTGTTTGTCCTCGTTAAGGAAAACAACCGCTTTGTCTATCAAGGAGCGAACAAGACAGCAAGGCTCGATTATCTAAGGTGTCGCACTGCTGCCAACACTCAGCGGGGGTGAGTGTGTGGCAGTGGGGGAGACTTAGGAGGGGCAGGGGAGAGGAGGGGCAACATACTGTGAAGGCAATAGCAGGAAGGAGGGATGCACGAGTCTGTAGAGGAACAATCTACTGCCATACTGCAGCGGGCAGGAGAGGAGAGGCGATGCACTGAGATGAAGAGGAGGAGGAGGAGGGTTGCAATGCAGTTCTGTCAAGAGGAGCTGAAGTAAGACTAGCAAAATGCACTACAGGAGATGCAAGAGGCCAGAGAGAAAGAGGAGGAAGAGGAGAAGGAGGAGGGCGGGGAGAATGCAAAGACTACATGTCAAACTGGCTTCGTTTAGATTTTTGCCGCATTCGGCCTTCAAGGAAATTACACTTTTTTTTTTTCTTGTCTTTAGGGCAACAGGTTGGTGGTGAGTTGCATATTTCAGAGTGACTTCCAGATGAAGTGAACCGGTCTAGTAACAAAGTTCTCAAAATGGATTCTTTGTCCCTCGCAATAATTTGACTCCCGCTACAGAAATGGAGCTGTAACCCCACGGGAAATGGATAAATGATCTCCAAATCTGAAATAAAATTCTACTTCTTTCTTCAAATGGGCGCCATTAATTTGAAGTCATTTGGCTGAAACAGAGCCCATCAGAATGACAAAAGGTTCTACTTCCACCCCCCAAAAAATGTAAATCTTCAACCTCTTCCAAATGGGCCACATCATTTCAGTCTTAGCACAGAAAGGGAACTTTGAGTGTCCAAAGAGGCTGATTTATAATGGAAAAATGCCGACCTGCTAATGTCAAGGAATTGGAAGTTAAGGCCAAACGATTCAGTGTTTCACAGTGACAAGGCCTTTTTCCCTGTTCACTCCAGGAAAGTTGCTGTCTGTTCAACAAAAGACTGTCTGATGTGTCACTGAAGATCAGTGGCTTATCAGATTTGTCTAGAAAGTTCAAGCAAGTACAAGATGCAAAGAGTTTTACTGTCCTTTGATCAGCAGATACTCAACCCCACAACACTTCAACTTTACTCTTTATAGTTAAAAATACACTCACATGACTACTGCACACACCCTTTGACTTAAAAATCCTTTCTAGAATCCATGAATATCCTCATGTAAAGGTCGAGCAGTGTACAGCTCATTTTGACCTTTGGACATTTAATGTAAAGCAACTAATGATCCCATCTGTGTGTTTGACAGCAAATATATTTCTTTGTAATTAATTCTGAACAGAAGTTAGAAATGTCACCACATAGCCTTTGACTTCCATCAACATGAACCGCTTCATTTTCTTCCAGTGACTATGAACTATGAACAGATGCCAGACTACATACATATAGAGGAGTATTTTCCTTCCGTAGCTCAGATTTGTTGATTGATGTCTTATTTTGCCTCTGAACCGCACTGAACTGAGTAAACCGGGCCTGGCCTCCTTTGCTGTACTTGACAACTGCCATTGTGAGGGATTGCGACTACACCAAGTAGAAGTCTGGGAGCGGTATTGTAATCTGTCATTGTCAGCTCGAAAAAAAAGGGAAATGGCTCCTAAGATAGATGGAAAGTATTCGTCGTGACCATGAACTGTTGTAGACAGGTGACTTAAACTCTATAATCTGCCTGAATCCATGAAAGGCAATTTTTCCTCCCTCCTCTGCGCACGGCAATCTCTCTGTGTCAGGGCTAAGCCCGGGCTTAGCCCCGCGGCCAGGCAGCCTGTCGAACATCTGAGCACCTGATCCTGGCATTAAAACCACAGCAGCTTTGGTTTTTGGGCTTTGCTTTGCTGGCAGCGAGGATCTCATAACGCGAGCTAATTACTAGCACTGTGCAGAATCAATTCTCCTGGCTTTGCAGGGGAGGTGTAAAAACAAAAAAAAGCCTCGCCTTTGTGTTGGAAAACAAAGGTATTTTTTTGTTAAATGAGTACAGGGATTTTCCCTAAATGTTTTTTCCTCTCTCCGGTGTACTCCCAGGCTGCCTGCATCAGTGGACGATTAGACACGTCTGCCATGTAGAGCCTGAAAACAGCAGCTTACCGCCTTCGTGATTGTGTCACAGCGGTAAACAATTATGCGTCAACCTCTCCATCAGGCCTTTAAGACTGATACGGTGGGCTTAAACCTTTTTTCCTCAAGCTGGTAATTAGAGGTGTGATGGGATTCCACAGGAGTACTGAATGGCCTCTTATAAAGCAGTATTCCCCTCCTTATAAACTTATTAGCCATGGACCAGTGGACTGCGTAGGAAGGAAGACAGAGTAATGTAGCCGTCAACTGTTCTTACACATCCCAGATTAGCTTTACATTGCCTCAAGCTAAAGAGGCTCCCCGTTTTTACTATCTTTAGATCAAGAAGAAACAATAATGATGTGAGGTATTTATAGCAAACTGTACGACTGAACAGATATGGAGTTCATTCATTCTGACAACACGCCTCCTTTGACAGCGCTGTAATTATCAGCTTGATCATTTCTCCTTTAGCTCTTGATAATGTGCAGATTTCAAACTGCTAATTTTGGCTGCACAAGCGGTGCAAACATCTTTGCTTCATTTCATTTGCCCGCTCCTCTCCCCCACCCTCCTATCAGTCCCTCTTTCCGTCCGTCTTGAGTGCCCTCGTACATTTGGCTGCCTTTTGCCATTACCCTATTCAATATTCCTCTCTTCGCTGCCCTTGCCGTTCCGCCTCCTCCCGCTAGACGTTGAAGCGTGATCAATATTTTTGTCATAACTCAGGGGAGAGTCACCTCTGCGACGACATTAAAATTCCTCGCTCTGTGCAATATAGTCCCCATCCAAATTCCCTGACTTGGAAAGGATGGGGCCATTACCTAGAATACTAAAAGAGCCACGAGACCTTCCTCTGGGCGAGAATGTCTCTTTACTTCAGCAGAGTTTTTGGTTTGCATCCTTGTAAAAAGTAGCTCTCGGAAAAAGAAAAATAAGAATAGGTGGGAGTAGATGTTACAGTTTGTATTGCAGAGCTGCTTATTCATGTCTGCTTTAAGTGTTCTATATAACTGAGCAAATACTGAAGCCCACTGGGAACTGTGTTAGCATCAATATTCTGGCGCTAAGCTAGTGGAAACATATTCTGTGTTTGCAGCGCGAGGCCCCGGATTGCACTTTTGCCATCTGCAGTTCTTTCCAATCTCCTGTCGTAAGCAAATCCCTCCAAGTCGGCTTGCCATTTGCAATGCTACCATCCCTCCCTTCCCTCACCTCTCCCTCTCTCCCCCTCCCTGACCCATCCTTTTTTTCCCCCGCAGCCATTCCTCCATCCCACGCTCATTACCTTATGCCCATTAATCCCATTAAGTAGCCATTAAACAAGTGCTGATAACACCAAATGAACGTCAAGCTCCGACAGCTAATAACTACAGCCCCACCTCGGCACGTTCAACCCTGGCAAGGAGAAAAGGGGATGCAGAGAGGAACAGCGAGGGTGTAGTAAAACGCAAGTGTAGTATAGAGTAGTGTAGCATTGTGTAGTAACAAGTACTCCAGCTGTGAAGAAAGAGAAAGAGGAAAGAGAGCAGGAGGAGAAAGAAGGAAGCCAAACATGTAAATATACTGCCGTACTTTGTATATTTACTCATGTCCACTTGTTCAGATGAGAAAGAAGGCGTCATTCAGCTCAGAAGCAAAATGGCACAGTAGTGGTGGAGTTTTTTTTTTTACACTGATCATCACTGGGATTTAAGAGCAAAGAGAAGAAGGGAGCTTTGCCAAACCAACCATAGGAGTAGCATGAAATAAAAGGATTGTATCTAAAGAAGCAAACCCAAGCTAAGGCAGCTACAGTGGCTGTTCAAGAGAGCTGAAGATGGAAAACCTGCTGAAGTAGACCCACACAACCCTGATGCACACTGAATTTAAGGTTGGCGATGCGTTCAGGGTCTTTTCAGGCACTGATTCCTGTCTTCCTGGGAAATGGAGGGGGGGTTAAGTAGTGGCGGCAATATAGCCGGCTCACTCGCAGCCCATTACGGTTGAGCTTAAAACCAGAAGCTCGCTCGCGGTCGTCGTCCTCGTTGCCGCTCGGCTTGAGTGATGAGGAAGGACAAGGTTATGGCGGAGAGGGAGAGGGGAGTCGCAGCTGTAGTCTGTGCCATTCATCAAGTGCGCACACACACACACACACTCAGACACAAGAGGAATCACACAAACACTCTTACAGTACGTGCAAACAAACACACAAACACACCTTTCCCTTCGCTGGTTCTCTCTGCAAGTCCCTATCTCTCTCTCACGCTCATGCACACTCATTTATCTGCACAGCACCATGTGGCCATTCATTACCAGGGACTAGTAGATCAGAAAGGCCATTCTACTACATCTCCCTGTCGCCACTGTTGAGGAACTGTAAAGCCTTTCCTTGCTCTGTGAGCTCGACTGCTGCCTGCCCAGCTGCTCAACCGAGTCAAAGTCCAATTTGGTTCACGAATCAGTGGGATCGGTAAACAAGGCTCAAATACAGAGGAGGCCCGAGGAGGGGAGGGGGGACGAAGGTCAAAAGAGAAGGGGGAGGGGAGAAAATGCATGGGATGATCGCTGTACTAATGACCTTGTCTTTCATCCACGCAAGAGGAAAATGGAAAAAGACTAGACAATAAAAAAGCGCTTAGGAAGGGATGAAGGGGGAAAAAAAGCATTACGTATGGTAAATGAAAATAGAAAAAAAAGGCAGGACTGAATGAATGACTACATAGATTACATTAAAGGGAAAGGCACACAAATTAAAAATGACTTGTACAGTACAGCAATAAATAAGAGGAATAAGTCGGGGAATGACGCAAGGAAGATTTGTGGGAAAGTAACCGAAGGTAAACAGCAGGTGTGGTTACAAAACAAATAAGACAGGAATACAGAAGAAGGGAAGAAAGGTATGAGGGAAGGAAGAAAAGGATAGGAATGTGTGGTACGGTAAAAGATAGGATGAAGAACAAAAAAAATGATGGTGAAATTAAAGACAGGAGCAGGGAAGGAATCAATAAAAGGTATCAAAACATGAATGAGTCAATGAATGAGAGATGGAAGAATGGAGTCAAGAAAGGAAAGAGAAAGGAGAAAAAAAAAGCCAATAAATGAATGAGACAGCAGGAAGAGAGAATGAAAGAATGGATGAACTCATGGATTATAAATGGCTTGTCCTGAATGTGTCAGGAGTGTTTGCTCTTCTCTCTCTCCGATGGAAGAACCTGCTAAATCAATCGGAAGTTGGGTTTTTTTTGCCCACACAGTGGACCCCCGGTCATGATCAGTGTAATTTCCTCTTATGCTGGCACATTTCGCTTCCGGCAAATCTCATCTCTTTCCTCCCGTTTCCCTCCCGTTTCCCTCCCCGCCCTCCATCCACTCTTGCTGTACGGCAAAATTAGCGTTGCTGGTGCTGATCTGATGAGGTGTGTGTGTGTAAACTGTGAAGTACGAAGAGAAGGCTAATCGTCTTGCATTTAACAAAAACTACCCACGCTATTATGCTGTTGCCATTTAGTAGCTAGAACATTCCGCATTCCGGCTTCATTCCGGTATCCTTAATTATCTACAGGTCTAAACATGCCAACATTCCAAAGACAGTTCTAGAATTAAGTTGTCATTCCAAATTCTCCTTATTATTATGGGCTGGTAGGTTTGACATCACATGATTTATTTCCAAATCCCAGAGTGCAGTGTATACACATCACATACAGGCCTCTCTTCATGAAGGACGCTTGCCTTAAATGTGAATTGGCGTGGAGGAAGTAAACAGGATGATCATGTTCTGTAGCTGGTTAGTTTGCTAGCTCTTAAACTACTATTTCAGTATTCAGGAACAGTCCTAACACGGTACTACTCCGTCTTCACCTGTCAAATATCCCATCATTTATTATTATCTGTGTAACTGGCATTTTAATATCGTTCTGATTCCAAACATGGCCTCTCAAACTAGGGTTCCAGGGTACCCAGGGGTCCTTAATACGTTTCTGTGTGGGTTTAATAGAAAAGCAGAATTCATTTGATTTTATTATAATTGTGTTATTCTAATTACACAGCATATGAAAGGATTAATTTGAAGGATAATTCTGCACAATTCAAACTTAATTAAACCATAATATATTAACATGTTTTTCATGTTCTCTCAATCCAGTATCTTATTATTATTATTATTATTATTATTATCTGACTAAGACACATTTGAGAGCTATTGCAGAAGTGCAGTCCTCCATTTTGCCTCCCCCCCTCACTGACTCCCTCTCATTCTGTGCAAGAAGACTTTTTTGTTACCTTGTCCCACAGAGTTTATTAAGGAGCAGAGCTGTCAAGCTGTTTATTTCATGAATGTGATTAATGCAGTGGTGTAGTTAGCTGGTAGGGACACACACAAAAAAAGAGAAACTGCATGAATGAGCAAGTCGGAGAGCTCACGCTATGCTACTCTGTCGACCTGACAGCCATGACAGAGTCTGGAAATTCACATCGGATCCTGTCTGCTAACAATGGCCCCTGACACAATTAGCTTAGCAGATTACATAAAAGATGTGCTCATCCTCCCGAGTACATCTTCATCACAGATTGCGTACGAACACATTAAGTCCAAAAAGAAAAGGAAAAGAATAAATCATGAAACATTAATTGTTTTTGGGTCAATTCTTATGTTGGGGTTGAAATTTTGAAAGCTCACTGACGTCAGGAGGATTGCCATTATTATCTGCATGTCTAACACATTGCCAAAGAGTACTTTCATCTGCATTGGACTTTTTTTAATACATCACATTAGAAGAACGGAAAAAACATAAAAACCATAAATTCAAATAACTGTCAAGTCGGCCTGTTTAAATCCTGATTTGTAAAGGTCAATGCAGCACTAGTCGCAGTAAATCACACTGGATTGTTGCCAACCAGAGCTGAGGAGAAATCAAATTAAAAAAATAGAAATGGTCTCCAGAATTGACTCACGACGATGCCTCACAAAACACCCGAACAAATTCTTGGCAGGTCAGGAAGGACGAGCAGTTTCAGCTGTTTTGCAGCCGCGGCAGGTTTAATAATACACACTTAGTCACGGTAAAACCCCTCCAACCCTTCCAATTCTGTATCGCATGAGCTGAGATATCCCACTTACTATACAAGGATCACCATATAATGGGTTATGCCATTATGGGCTCAGCAAAAAAAGAAAAAAAAGCTCCATGGCAGCATTCATAAACATAAGCTGTGGTTCACTGCTGCACATTCTAGCAGTCTGTTTCCCGGTGTGTTCAGTGTACAAAATATTAGGACACCTGTTAATGTCACCTGTTAAATCTGAATGAAAGAGTGGAGATGTATACAAGTATGCAGACAGCCAATCAGTGACGAGATACAGTACATCATCCCTCCAGGTCTGAGCAGTTCCAGTGGTCAAGGTTCACAGGGATATTGTCAGGCCTCTGTGACTTCTAACCCTCTGTGTTGGCTATTTGGTTTGGTTTGGAGAATTTAAACTAAAAACAATTCTAAAATTTCAAACTCTGTAAATGCCAAATCTCTTTTTTTTGTTTTTGTGAAAACAATCACATTGGTTCTATGTTCATGTCCAGCCAACATTAATCTCATCTACAATTCTAACTAAAAAAAACTATGCTGGTACAATTAAAGATAGATTTTTTTTTAACCTAAATGTTATCTCTCAGATACCACTGCTCTGATTTTAATAACACTAGGAGGGGAAATACATGTACCTCTTCCTACTGATTGAACCGATGTCTATATCCAGAGCACCTTAAAATGACTACAACGGTAGAATAAGCTTCACTGTCCAGATTGCAAAGTGTCAAGAGTCACAGAGCCTTTAAGTATACCCACAAGTTAATAAGATAATGCAGGTATATGATATAATAGCTCATGAAAAGGGTAAAAGAGAGTTTGATATTTGGAGAAGAGAGGATATACTTTGAATCAGATTGCAGATGTACACACAGGAAGGTGGAATATCACAAGGGTACTAATATTTTGTACACTTAGAACACACAAATGCCCTAAACTCAATATACGGCAATATAAATTACTCACATCCATTCTGGAAACTAAGATATGTCAGTGTTTAACATGCAACAAGGCTCAAATGTGACATGTTACCCTATTAATCAGTTCATGTTGAATAAACACAAGGTCAAACTCGGGCCAGTTCCAGTTTTGTTTCTGTGACTGTGCACTGAAATTTCGGTCTGTTCCAATTACATTCAAAATAATTTTGGGTAAGATGCTTTATGATTTTTTTAAGAAACTTGTTGTATTATTCATACACGTTAATGAATATGCAGGGTTGCCCCAGTTTTCTAATGTCATACAAACTCATTCATGTCCAGACTGTGTTCCTAATGTGAGGAAGTTTAATATAGAAACCTCTGACATGTGTCTTTAAGGGGGCTTCCATTCAGGGAAAGGTTACTAATTATTATATTATCATCATCACCAACATCATCATCATCATCATCATCATCATGAAATCATATTTAGCAGTCTGCTTTTGGGAGAGTGGCACATTACCTTGACCACCAAAACAAGCACTCAGGATACTGTGTGGATACCAAGGAATGTAGCCAACTAGCACCATGATAACTAGAGATCCTAAAATATCTCTATGTATATCTTAATGGGAATATTGTTTTACAGTCTGATTGGGGCTAAAGGTGCAGGGACAGGTTAAACATAAATAGATAAAATAAACCTTAAATAGTCTAATTTGGTCTTAGCATGTTGAGCAATGGGCAGAATTACCTTTGTTGTAAACTGCAAAGAGCAAATGAAAGAGATCGACAGATTGAGAACAACCAAAAACAGTGAGATGATTAAACACAAAGCAACAGAATTTTAGTAACATCTCTATATATTAATATATATAAACTTTTCTTCTTCTTTTTTAAATTAAACAAATAAATACAAACCTTTCTTGGTGATAACCTTAGCTAAACCCTTAAAAAGGTATTTAGAGAAGGTAATGAAAGGCAGAAACAGCACATTACCAGGTCTTTTCTGGATATTGTTTGGCTACATTCCTGTCTTATCCGACTGAGTCTTGGTGGCAACTCCTACCTTTAAAGTTCGGTCGAATCCTGGCATCGTAACCCGAAACCTTGCCCATGAGTTTGTCCAGGAACTCGGAGGGCGGCATCGGGGAGGCAGCTTTCCTCGCCGCAGCTTCTTTCGATGCTGCCAAGCTGGAAGACAGAAAGGTAAATTTGGTTAGAGAAAGATGCAGAGAGAGAGAGAGAGAGAGAGAGATGCAATGTTGTGATCGAATTGTAATGAGAAAGAAAACTTCTGACAGGCAGAAAGATGAATGTGAGATTGGATTGTAGTCATAATACATCAAAAGTCTTTCACATTCAGATCAATTTATCATATACAGTCTGGCAGTGTTGCCAGCATCCAAGAGAGAAAAGGGCCAAGGGTTAAAGGTCACAGTAGCCTGACAATAGACAGATAATGTAAACTGTCCACTCGGGTAAAAACTACTGCAATAGTCTTTCGTTTAAAAAACCTCGATTTACATTAAAAATGTCATGAAATGTGCAACCTGAACTCTTGCACTACGTTCATTCAACAATCCAACAACATTCAACAAAGAACCAGTGTTTCCAGCAGCCTGTCCTCACCAGAGAAACATTGTTTTATGACCAGTACTTATATTTCAAGGGGCTGTAGTAATTATGATAGGGAGCAAATGAGGAAATCAGGTGACATGTTATAAAGAGCAACACACTCAGAAATACACCCAGACCTTCACCCAGGAGGAGGAATAAAGGACAATGTTGCAATCTAAGTGGAACTGATGAGACTGGAAGAAAAGTGAGTTAGTCGTTAGGTAACTCTTGAATGTGGTTGTTTTAGGAGTCTGCAGTGAACAATGTTTCCCCCAACTTCAGCATGAAACTCTGCATTTCTGCCTCAATTTAATGTATTTCATATTGAATTCTACACTGGGACAAAGCAGGATCATTAAAAATTCAGGTCATAGTTATAGAAAAGGAGTATGGGTTATTATACAATCGACAGTAGTAAGGTGACAAATTCAGTTTTCACTCGTGGTTACTAAAAGCTCGCTGTGCCAACATTATTTTTATATTTTTAACTTTCACAATAGACCTTTTTCACAGCAGCCATTTTGACTGATTAGAGATCTTACTAATGATACTAACGTTAATTAAGGTTCTGTTCCATTCAGGTCCAACAGAGTCAGTGCTGGGGGCTGTTATTGTAACTGGAACGGCTAAATGGAGCAGAACCTTAACTTTACCCTACTATTTCATGGCAAATTAGCTGCTGTAAAAAAGGACTATTCTGAAAGGATGGATTAAAAAAAAATGTTTTATGTCATGTATATACTAAAAAAAAATATGTTTTCTTTGAATGAGAGATTTAAATGCACTAAGAACTATTGAAAGACTATTAGCTATATTGTTTAAATATCAATCCTTCATTCATTCATTCATTATATCTCTCTATTCCTGGAGGTTATCCCTGGACCTGCACACACCAGGGCTAAAAATAAGGTTAATTTATCATCATTTAATTTCATTTAGTTTTATCTAATTTAATTAAAAAGTGACTAATTGGAAGTCAACTTTTACAGTCCATGCTGACCGTAGTTTAATGCATTAGTGGTTACACGCGCTTCTTTCCTTTTAAGTAGTTATTCAAACTAATGCTCTAATTCACTTAACCAGCTCAGTGTCCTGCTGAGTGCCACATTGATTTTACAATAAGGCCGTGGTATTTGCACAGTTGACTTCTTTACCTTATTAAGCCCATAACGCTCATTAGATGCTCTCTGCATAATGTCAAATCCCCAGTACGGCCTTTAGCCCACAGACTTACAATGACTCCAGCTCTAACAGTCAATAACACTCCACACATACACACACACACACCAACACACCAACACACACACTGTGAACGCATGGATCGAGCCAAAGTATCCAAACAGCATGTGTACCTGAAAATGATTACCAAAGGAAAAAAAATAGACCACATACTTTAGTGATTAATGAGTAAAAGAAAGTTCACTAATTGGCTCCCTGGTTACCACAAGAAGACTTAGGGTACATTTGAATATAATCCTGGGAATTCAAGAATTAAAGAGAGATTGTGTTTATGATCATCTATCAATTTAGAACTGTAAATTACTACACTGCTCACTTACTATTGTACACACACTTTTATGTTTCTACTATACTTGTGAGGATCCTCATTGACATAATGCATGCAATCATTTTTCCCAACTTTCTAAAATTGTCCTTACTATTCACCAATGGTCCTCATTTAGCAAAAGCATCTTGACTTTGCAAAACTGTCCTGTATTTTGAAAATGTCCTGATTATCTAAAAACGTCTTGTCTTTCCAAAATGTCCTCAAACTCAAGGTCTAAAACTTAAATAGGTCCTCACAAAGATAGGAGTACGAGAGGTACAACACACACCTCTTCTGCCTACTTCACCTCAAATTCATTCCACTGGATTTTTATTTAAAGAAATATACACATTCAGTATTATTTCAATTTGTCTATAACATTCAGTTTATTTGTGTAAGTGATTTTAGTACTATGTACCATTGCTATGATTCACTGTGACTCATCATTCATTCAGGTGAAACTGTGATTATCACTTATTGATGTTGCTTTTAATTCTTGTGTTACAAGCTGTCTGAACATTTAAAAAAAGACAAGTCTTGGGATTTGAAGTGAAATGCTTTGCTGCTTGCGTTAGATGGGAAGTGAACTGACAGTGACTTCATTCTGGGCGAGGACTGAACTGACCCGTGGCCTTACAGTGGACCGGCATTAGCGGCCACTTGTAGTGCAGTTTGTATTTGATTGCATCATTTCTCGCTGCGCCCGGAGAAAGAGCATGGACAGCAGTGTGATCTGGGCTATAAATAAGCTGCTGTACTGACCCATTTCATTTGACTACAGCCTCACAATGAGCTTTTAAACCAACAAGACGCAGGAAGGACTGTGTAGCCCTCTTACAGTTTTACTCTTAGAATTAATTATAGTGGTCAGTAATATATTTATTGATTAGTAATTTGTTGGGTTAAGTAATTGCTTCTTCTTAATATTTATATTTAAAGGTTTATTGCACAGTTTGGCCATTGTGGTGTAGAGTTAATTTAAAAAAGTTAAACCAGTTTTTTAATTCAATCAGCTGCATAATTTGTCTCTATTGACTTCTTGACTTCTTGAACCTCAGCTAGAAGCACTTTATTAAGGTCATATTTTCCAACTATATTAAATATGTCTACTGATTTCTTTGAGAAATATGAAATATTCTAGGCATGATTTATTCAGTTTTTTGTGATGGTGCAGCCATAAAAAATATCTTAAGCTTGAATATTTTACTTCATTTAAATATCATAGCTTTGATACTAACTAAATTTGATACTAACACACAATTTTGGGGAAATTAAATAGAAAATGTTGCTAATATGACACAAAATAATCCGTAGTTAAGGATGGAAAGGAGAAGGATAACTAAAAACACTGAAAACGTGTTTTAAATTCACCTGGCAAAGAAATGCCAGTCATTGACTTTGCTGATCAAAATCCTTCAACATTTGAGCCTAAACATAACTCATCAAAATCTATTAATATGCATGGTTATTGCCATGCATGTTTTATTTTGTCTCCGGCTGAGCCACAAGAAGTTATGGATGGGGTGTCTATGAGGAATAATTCATTGTGGTGCTGGAACATTTTTACTTTGCAGCACTCAGACGTCCGGTGAAGCAGCAGTCAGCCTCAGACATCAGGACTTCCTCTCAGCTCAGCTCATGGTATCAATGATTGAAAACAGACGGAAGTTTAATCAGAGTGGAACATAAACTGGATCTGACTTGTTTGCTTAAGTTTTTAGACTTAGTGAAGTTCAGAAAGTCTGTGGAGTGACCAAAACCAGCACATGACCTTTCTTGACCCCCAGTTAAAGACTAAAGCAATTTCCATAAATGCCTGTAAGAGCAACACAGTGAGTCCGAAAGTGAAAATGAAAATTATTCAGCCATTAGTTGTAACTGCTGATGAGTGTGGGGGAGGGGAGCTTCGCCGCATTAATCTCTCATAAATTAAAATGACAGATGATACAGCCGATCGCGCTTAAATTTTCACCTTCTAAATGTAAAACCGCTAACCGTGACTTTCAATATGGTAAATCGTGACGCGCGGCATGATAAATAGTGCCATTAGCAATTCATAAACACGTAATGCAGTCAGCGCTGTCGCTTTATCAGGAAACTGCTGATCAGAATCACAGTCTGCAGGGTGAAAACGGGAATTATGGAGTGGCCGTGATCGGAAAACAAAATAAAACGGGACAAATGCCTCGTTAGTCCTTGTCTCATGATGTGGTCATGTACAACACAAATGTTTAAGTAGATACACACAAACTTGTATAGAAAACTGCAGAAATACACACGCTAGTCTCACACACACACACACACACACACACACACACCGACCTTCCAAGCAACTCGCCCTCATCAGTGCAAAACATCGGAAAACAAATCATGCAGGGCACCAAGGAGACAGAGGAAGGAGGGTGAAGGAGGATGATGTGGGTGTGTGCATGTGTGTGTCTGTGTAGTTGTGTGTGTGTGTGTGTGTGTGTGTGTGAGGGGGAAGAAGAGGAGGAGGAGAAGACCAATAAATTAAGTTTGGTTGCTGTCTCCGTCCACCCTGCTACCAGCCGCTCAGGTCACCCTGCCTGTCAGGTCACCGACCAAGCTGCCTGCAGAGTCACATGACCTCCTCAACACACACACACACACACACACACACACACACACACACACACACACACACACACACTGGAGGCAGCTACCAATGACGGACCCAGCCATGCAGTCTCCGTCTGTCTGCGGTGTTAAACGGTGATGATGTTATAAACGACCATAAATCATCACACTGATAATGACATTATAATGATCATAACTGAGGATATTGATGACAGTGCTCAAAACAAGTTAGCATTACATAAATAATGCTGTCGCAGTTCTGTGTCTCATGAATCATAATGATGATGTTGAGGGAAACTAACAAGCTAAATGCTGTGAGGACAAACAATGTTATTTTGGTACCATAAGACAGTCACTTAACCTTGTGCAGCAGAGTTGCACAGAACACAAGTTCAAGCTGCTCTCATTGATATTTTTTACAATATGTTAA